TAAATCATACATTTGAAAGGGTTAACACAAAGATATCACGATTCGTGTTGAAAGAAAAGAAAAAAAAAGAAAAAAAAAAAGAAAACAAAGAAAAAAGTTAACATAAAATACATAAGGAATGAAACGTTATTTATCGATTAGTACGATATTGGCGTTGAAAATAAAGAAGATAAAAAAAAGAAAAAAGAAAGAAAAAGGAAAAAAAAATAATATTAATAAAAAAAAAATTATATATATATATATATATATATATATATATATATATATATAAACGACAAAGTTAATCGCAGCATGCAAGTAAGCGGTTGTTTACGATACTATAATTATTAACGTTAAAAACGAAGATAGCCCGCAGAAGAATATTGATAAACAATGTTCAACGTTCAAATAACACATTATATTTTTTCTCATAAACAGTATGTATGTGTGTGTGTATGTGTGTGAAAGAAAAAGAAAGAGAAAGAGTGAGAGAGAGAGAGAGAGAGAGAGAAACAGCGGATATATAAAGTTAATAAATAAAATAACAAGTGCAGGAAAAAAAAGGAAACTTACATTCTTATAAGCATGCTAAAATAGTCAATTTTTAATTTATGCATGGTATACTCTTTCCATCCGAAATGCATGCACGTGTACACGCACGCATATACACTCTCAAACACTTACATATCCACGCATCTGGATTATCATGCAAAAGAGGATGCACTTGCAATCAGAAGGGGATGATATACGTGAGTACACATTAAACGTCACGTGCAGCCAAGTCGAATTAGAATTGAGTATATCAAATGAAAATCCTTTCTTTCTTCTTTTTCTTTTCTTTTTCTTTTTCTTTTTTTCTCTCTCTCTCTCTCTCTCTCTCTCTTTTCTACAAATTCTGCGCCATTTCTTTCGATTCGTTCTAAAATGTGTGGAGGGAGCCAATCAAAAGATAGAAGGAATATACGAAGTCTGGTTATAAATCAGAATTAATGGTGACTGTTTATAAAAAAAGAAAAAAAAAAGAGAGAGAGAGAGATAGAGAAAGAATAAAGAAGAAAATTAAAAAAGGAAAAAAAAGCTTCGCGTTAAAAATTCTTATTGTACGGATCATAACAATAACAATAACATCAACAACAATAATAGTAATATTATTATTATTATTATTATTATTATTATTATTATTATTATTATTATTATTATTATTATTATTATTATTATTATTATATATAACAATTCGAAATAAAATTCATATCTAATTATATACACCAAAAAGTGCTCAATATTACTATACAAACATAAATTTTCTTTTCCCGAGCACACATTAAACGCCATTGTTCGTAACATTTTTAGAACTCCATTTCTAAAACGCTGAAATACAGTTTAAGATTTGTTTTATGAGACTCACTGTATAACCTCAACAGTTTCAAAACGTTCTCCTTTAGTTAGCAATTTAACTTTCAAAAATAAAGAAACAAACTTGGAATGATTAAAAAAAAAAAAAAAAAAAAAAAAAGAAAATATGAATTAAAGTTATTGTTAGAATGTGAAATATGGACGTGTATTATTAAGACATCTTGCAGCTATTTAACACATTACGGATCAGATATTATTTCATTTCTAATAGATCAAACGTATCTAGTTAATCATCTGATTTGTTTTTTTCTTTTTGTTTTTTTTTTTCTTCTTGTCCAAATAAGATATACGAGATAACACGTCAACGCACCTTTTAACACAACACAATACGATAACCGTGAGATATTCCGTTGTGTATTCGTCCGTAACATGTTAAAAATGAATTAAAAGCCGCTGGGTGTTAGTTAAAGGGGCTAAAGGAAGGATCAAGGTTAAACATGATCGGTCTTAACCACTTGCGCTTGAATTGACGTGTTTACGCAGGCCAATAGTTATTTGTCTCAAGCTTTGAAACGACGTAAAGAAATACTCGCTTGAATGAACGGCTTGTCTTTGAAATATGAACAAAACTTGTGACACAAGAATGATTGAAATTTTATTGTTCGAAAACAATAGACCGTGTAAAATACGATATATCCATAAGATATTAATATATTTATTGCACAATATTTTTCACAATTTTATATGTACATATTTTATTAAAATCAAAGTAATAGAAATAATAAAATAAAAATGTATTATTCAAATAATATTATTTCTTTCTTCCTCTCTCTCTCTCTCTCTCTCTCTACCCTATATTACAAAATAAAAAGCGCAAGTCAATGATATAAGTACAGTGAATAGTGTTCGAAAAAAAAGACAATAAAAAAACGAAAAAAAGAAAAAAAGAAAAAGTTAGGAAACTAGAAAAGAAAAAAGAAAATCATAAGTAGATCCTTCGAAGAAGGTTCAAAGTACATGTGCAAAGTAAAGTAAAGCAAAAAAAAAAAAAAGAAAAAACCAAAAAAAACGAACTCAACGACAGAACCTATGTCTGATTGCGTCGGACAATGTTCCTGATTAAATTTTGAAATTGATCAATCCTAGAAGAAAATATTATAAAATAAAAGGTATTTATTATCATAGAAACTATGTCTACATACGAATATTGATAGAAATGACGATTAAATTTATGTCTATGAATTTATTTAACGTAAACTAATATGGTCACGCGCAACACTTAATCAATTGTCAGTGCAAGTGGTTAAATGGACTTAATGGTTTACCAAGTCAAATGAACGGTGAGATACAGTTTCATTAAGTTATCGTTGGATCTCCAAACGTTTTCGTATGAAATAAAAATTGAGGAAAATAAAAGGATGAACGAAATGAGAGATAGAAAAAGAGAATGGTAGGCGAAGTGGCAAAGTGGCATATAAACAGACAGATAGACAGACAGATGGAAAGATGGACAGACAAAGAGAAAGAAAAAAAGAGAGAGAGAGAGAGAGAGAGGGAGGAAGAGGGAGAGATATATAAAAAGATAAAAATGATGATACAGAAGAATTAGAATGAGAAAAAGAGAGGCATGCGACTCACCAATGCTTGGGCGGCGCTCTGGTGCTGCAAGCAAGAAACACCCAGTTACAATCACAATTATGCCAGTCAAATATAATATATATTTTGTAACTCTTTTATTTATTTATTTATTTATTTATTTATTCATTTTTTTTCTTTCTTTTTCTTTTTTCTATTTCTTTTTTCTTTTTTTTTTGGCCCTCACCTCCTCCTCTTCTTCTTCCTTTTCCTTTTTTTCTTCTCCTCTTTTTTTTCTTATTCTTTTTGCGAGGTATTTTTTTTGTTCCTTTTTTTTTTCTTTTTGTTTTTTTCCGTTTCTTTTTCTATTTACCTTTTTTTTCTTTTTTTTTTTTTCTTTTCTTTTCTTTTCGATAATCAGGCTTACGACAGAGAGAAACGATTATACAATAAGTGCAGTGCTTACGAAAGCGGTTCACATCGAATCGTACATACGCAAATGTTTTTAGTTGGTGTCTGTGTCTATTTGAAAGCTTGGAATAACGTAACAAGGGATCCCTTTTATTTTTTTCTCTTTGTATGTATGTATGTCTGGGTATGTGTGTGTGTGTGTGTGTATGTGAAAAAAAAAAAAAAAAAAAGAAACAAGAAAAAAGGAAAAGGAAAAGCTTTCAAGAAGCATCAACGCAGCGGAATTTTGAAATGATGATGACGTCAAAGGTCCGTAAAATATAATAATGATAATAAATAATGATGACGATGATAACGATTCGATGGCGGATAAACTTACGGAATAATCCATTTTAATAATCAAATTCTTCGTACGATTATTACAATAATTATAGATACAGTTTGGTAATTGGCAATATGTAATCTAAAACTGAATTCACGATCACAAACTTCTCAATGGAAAGTGTATAGAATTGTTTCCAATGATATAAATCTATTTCGTTCTATAGAACGTGATATAGAATTCCGCTGCATTTATATTTACACAGGTTCTATTAAAAAATGATATTATTATTAAAAAGAAAAGGATAGAAAAGATTTTTTTATTCGTCATTATCTTATATATTCGTATTTATAATAAATCGATGAGATGGAAATAGAAATAAGAGAGAAAAGTGAAAAATAATAATTAGAGATCACATACTGCGCTAATAGAGGAATACATTGAATTAATATAAATGACGTTTGCATCCCAATGGATTTATTATTATTATTATTATTATTATTATTATTATAGTTATTATTATTATTATTATTATTATTATTATTATTATTATTATTATTATTATTACAATTATTATTATATTACACCAATATCATCTTGGAATTTGATATGATAGTAAATATAAATTACATCGATAAAAAAGAAAAACAAAAAGGAAAAAAAAAGAGAGAAAGAGAAAAAAATAATTTTAAATATATTTCATAAAGATTCAAATAGGATCAAAACATTTTCTAAATCAATTGTTCCTTTATGAGCTCTTTTCGACTATCTTCTTTTCTCTTTTTTTTTTTTTTGTTTTCGTTCACAAATTGTAATTTTTAAAATTCTAAAAATAATTTTGTCCAAAGAGTCTCGAAAAAGAATGATCGATTTATAAAATCACTTAGAAATCCTATCTCTTTTACCCATGTTTTTATTATGCGTGGTGAAAAAAAAAAAAGAAAAAAAAAAAAAAGAAAAAGAAAAAGAAAAAAGAAAAAAAATATATTTATATGAAAGTGAAAAATTGACAAAAATAAAAAAAAAAAAAAGAAGAAAACAAAAACAAGAAGAAACAAGAAGAACAAAAGAAAGAAGCAAGATAATAATTTTTAAATAATCATCTATTTGTCACAAGACTTTAAACGATAAAGATTAGCTGAAAATCATTGTTAAGTTCTGAAAAAAAGGCCTGTTGAAAATGTTGAAATTGCTCGTCCTCTCATTGGTAAAAACAATCTCGTTAATAGTGAACCTGGAAGATTGGCCTGAAGCTTTCAATTAAGATGCTCACGGGGATGCAACTGACTCTAAAAGCCAACTCCCCGAGGAAATTACAATAAAGTTGCGGAACACGCGCCTTTCCTCGTTTTTGCTCTTATCATTTTCGTGGATAACGAGACCGGTTAAACGTTCACCTTTTTTCTTTTTTCTTCTTTTTTCTTTTTTTTTTTTTCTTTTCTCTTTTTATTTTCATCAAAACGTTATATACTATAATTTAACCACTGCGAAATTAGTTTCAAACCATTAGCCTATTTTAGTTTATCTCTTTAACACGTTCTATCAATCGTGATTGAAAATTGTTATTCCATTAATAAAACAAAAATAATAAGTTAAATTGTCACGATCGAGAATAAATATTGATTAATTTTTATTTTCTTTCAGTAATAAAAAAAAAACAAAGAAAAAAAAGAAGAAAGAAAGATAATAAAATAAAATAAAAAAGAAAAGAATTTACAAAATTTAATTAAAAACAAAAACGTATTGCTTTGAAAAAAAAAAGTGATTAGAAGCGTTTTAATGAAGTCTATCAAAAATTCAAAAATAATTTTGATAGAAAAAAAAAATATATATATATATATACATATATGTATATATATATATGTATATATATCTTGAAAAAAAGAAAAAAAAAATATATTATCTGATTTGTAATGTTATATCCACTTTTCAAGAACTGAAATGAAAGTATTTGAAAGAAAATAATTGAAATATCAATAATCTTATCTGATACAGTCAGTTAAAAAGAATTGGACATATTTTCGAAGGAGAAAAATATCTTCGATATGTTCGAAGAAATAGAAAAAGAGAGAAAGAAAAAAAAATATATAAAAAAAGAGAGAGAGAGAGAGAGAGAGAGAGAGAAGAACATAAAGAGAGAGAAAGAGAAAGAGAGAGTTAGGTTAAGCAATAATATAGTACATATATTCAGCCAAAATGTTGTAGCGAGAGGCAGTCATTAGTTTGCGGTTAGAGCGAGCGTGTCCTACGTTTAACTGCAATAATTACAGTTGATCCGGCTGAACCACGTCTGCGGATTATCGTTCAACTTAATTCACCACACATATCATGAGAACGAGAAGCTGGAGTACTGGATAGCATTGAAGAAGATAGGCTCGCGTGTGTAATTTCAATTTCCATATCGCGATAGACACTTATCTGTTTCCTCTCTCTCTCTCTCTCTCTCTCTATCTATCTCTCTCTCTCTCTCTCTTTCTGTATTTGTCTCTTTAAATCGTAATAAGATCTCAAGTATTTGCTCTTATCGAGGTGTCGAAGTTAAATTTTTGTTCTCCCTACTTCCTTTCTTTTACCTTCTTTTATTTTTAACTCCGTGATATTAGCTCGACTTAAGTTAGAAATCTGAGAAATGCAAGAAATAACATACTCAAGTAGCTTCTGATCGATCGATTAAACGAGCTATGTAAATATCCATTATTATTCAGATATGATTATATCATAAAAACTGAATTATATTATTATTGAATAATAAAAATGAAATGTTTTAGACAGATTAATTCAAAAGGAACGAAATAATAATAATTATAATAATAATAATAATAATAATAATAATAATAATAATAATAATAATAATAATAATAATAATAATAATAATAACAATAATAATAATAACAATTATAATAATAATAATAATAATATCAACGAAGATAAAAATTAATGAATAAACGTTTATATTGAACAAGTCTCGAGTATTCTTATAATTATTTATACCTAATGCAAATCAAACGTCGAATGATCTAACGAATTCAATTGGCAAGTAAAAATTTGAAGAAAATTGAAACGTTTTGTAGAAACCTTTAAGAAACTCTTTAATATGTACACGAATGTTAACGTTTCTAAACCAGCTTTTCTCTCTAATTCATTCGAATCTCGTTTGCGGTTTAGAGACGTTACACATGTACGATATCACTATGACCAGCCCTTTCCACTCGCGGTGATATGTCAAAGAAAGCCACGATTAAGGTTGTTATAATGTATGGCTTTTTGGATTATCGTTCAATTTCCTTGGCGCCATCTAACGACGAGATTTGCGTTTCTGATTTACATATTTTCACATAACTCGTTGAAATATTTCATCCTCCATATCTTTCTCACTTATATCGATTTCTTTTGATACTCGTGATAATGAAAAAAAAAAAAAAAATAAGAAAAAAAAGTAAAAGAAAAAAAAATAAAAAAAAGAAAAAATAAAGAATTCTTTTTCAACGAACGTCAATTAAGAAATAATTAATTTTCATTCTAACAAACGTTGATAAAAATTATTTATACATTTTGAATTAACAATTTATTGTTCATCTCTGTTACAATGTTCAACGAAAAATTTTATCTTTTTTATTTAAATATATTTATGAATGATATATATATATATATATATATATATATAATCATATAAATTATACAAATCCTTGAAGAAAAAAAGAAAAGAAAAAATTTTCAAGGATTGCGTTTCTAATTTACATATTTTCACATATATCACGTTTATATATTCATTCGTTCTATCTTTTACACTTATACCGATTTCTTTTTTTTTTCTTTTTTTTTTTTTTGATATTTCTGAAAATATAAAAAAAAAAGATACTTTTCCAACGAATGTTAGTTAAGAAATAATTAATTTTCATCTGAATAAACGTTGATAAAAATTATCTATTCATTTTGAATGAACGATTTATTGTTAATCTCTATCATAATGGATAAAGAGAAATGTTATCATTTTTATTTATATATATATATATACATACATATATATATATATGTGTACATATATACGTGTATGCACAAATATGATAAATATTTAAAGTAAAAAAGAGAGAAAATTTTTAATGCAATAAATCTGCAATATGTCAGATAAGGTTCCTGCACGTACATATAAAGTACTTATGATGACGAGCACTAACAGTTAACTCTATATAATCAACGAAAAAAATATGTTTATGCAAGTTTATACACTCTCTTAGAGGAACTATTATATATATACATATACATACATATATATATATATATATATATATATATATATATATATATATACACGAACGTTTGAAGTACAACATTTCGAAAAGATCGAGAATTTTTTTCCGCAAACTGGGATAAAAATTATATAACAGTCAAATCGAAATATCGTCGAAAGTTAAGAGAAAAGTTATTAGTTACTCTAATTAAAAAGCCGATAACCATTTGTTTTCTCGTTCTCGAGAGTGTATGCAAAAAGTTTTCACGAATGTCGTATTTCATTTCACGACGGTCTAAAGGAAACAAAATATGAAATAAAACAAAATAAAATAAAATAGAGTAGGGCGAAGAAAGCAAGAAAGCAAGAACAAGAGAGTGAGAGTGAGAGAGAGAGAGAGAGAGAGAGAGACAGAGAGAAAAAGAAAAAAAACTTTGATATTAAGTTCCGCGATAAGTTATTCTATTTTTTCTTTCTTTCTTTTCTTTTTGGATTAATCAAAGAAATAAATTAAATATCGACGTGAACAAATAAAACTTGACCTATGACCAATTGCAAAATATTTCTTTTAAAATTAAAAGAATCATAAAAAAAAAAAATAATTTAAATCGAATTATACATCATATACTTATAATATATACATTTTGTTAATAATCAATTTTGAAGACTATTTTTGAATATTATTTTAAAATAATATTTATTAATGATATTCCATCGTAATTCTTGTTTGTCCCGTTTATGTTAATTTAAATAAACAATTGTTAAATTTTGAAATAGTTTGAAAAAATATCTAATAAAAAAAAAGATAGTCATAAATTATAAAAAATTTCTCTCTCTCTCTCTCTCTCTCTTTTCTCATTCTCTTCTACTTTCTTTGATTGCAAAGAACGTTGCTCGATTTCACGCGATAAGAAAAGAATAAAAAGAAAAGTTTTCCGCATCCTTGCCGCGACTCTATAGATCCTAGACTCTCGAGCTCTTCTCCACGTAGACGACGGAGCTCTCTTCCGGGATTGTGATTGCGGTGAAGTATGTCCTCTCTCTCTCTCTCTCTCTCTTTCTCTCTCTCTCTCTCTATCTATCTATCTCTCAATCTATCTCTCTTTCTCTCTCAATAACCAATTTCCCAGACTCCTACTACTTTCCCACGGAGGATTCAAAATCGATCTACTCGAAAACGCGAGTTGCCTACGAAGTACTTGCCATCGAAGTACGGAATAATAAATTCTCTCTTCCTGTACAACAATGACTATTACTGTTATCCCCTCTCTAAAGACTATCGTCAAATGTCATGTCTCGATAGATGAGAGATAATCATCAATTTCATATTTCGATTGAACACAAACGAAAAATAAAAATCAAGTCAATAACGATTTTATTATAGTTTTATGTAAATGTAGGATTAAAAGAGACAAAAAAAGAAAAAAAAGAAAAAAAAAGAAAAGGAAAATGAAGAAGAAAAAGAAAAATTAAAAAATAATACGACGTATAAAAAAAAAAAAAAAGAAGAATTTTTTTGAAACTTCAGAACAAAGATGAGCCATTTGAAACTGGGTTATCTAAGAGAGAGTTAGAGAGGGAGGAAAAAGGAGGGAGAGAGAGAGAGAGAGATGGCATACCTGATTTTTGAAAAGAGAACGAAAAGTAGATACTATACTTTTAGGGTACATTAAAAGTATCATTGGCTCGAGGCAAGTAAGTAAAAGGAACTTAAAGCGATGACGACTTGCTTGGCCTCTGGCACTATCGATGACCTTGAATTGTGATTTTCCCCCTTCCCCCTTTATTCACTTACGAAATAGCAACTTTTCTATGAGACGAATAAAATCAAAAGAGAAGAAGAAATTAGAATTCGTTGAATTTATGTACATTTCAATTGTAGATCTTCCCTTTTAAGAAAGAAATTCAACTGCTAAAATTCAAGAACGTACAAACGATCTCCTTCTAAATATCATTATTTTCTGTTTTGAATCATTCGTAAAGTATAAACTTCCATCTCATCGATATGGTATTAGTAAATATGTCAAAGGACACTCGATATTTTTCTTTCCGTTAATAGAAATCTGTGAATTTGAATGAAAGAAAAAAAAAAAAAAGATAAACAGAAAACGATTGATAAATATATCACGAGA